TTCAATATATGGTACTAATGGTATTTATATTTCTATAAGGTATATATGTAGTTTATATATAGGGCACATATAAGAAAGGCAAATCTCCCCTACAGGTTGCAATGAATTTTGCAGCAAATTTTTTCTCTAGTTATGAAAAAGTGTTGATAAAAAGCAGCACAAAAAATTTACAAAATTGTTGGAGTTCATGCAACAAATTTGAATCGTCCCTGGAGAGGGATGAGCTGGTCAGATCATATGAATGTTCACACTGTCAGATAAAATATAATAAAAGTTAAAGAAGATAAATACAGATATGTAGGTTGCCATTGCTGAGCTCTGTTGTAAAATGCTAGGTGCTTGGCTGTCTCTAGCAATAATAATTTCTGCATCACTGATCAGGAATAAGTATGCAGCAAGTGAAGCTAGACAGCTGCCTGATCTACATATGTATTCCAGGTCGCTGGCTTAAAGTAGTGTAGCACTTGGATCAGCATGATAGCCAGATAACCATGAGCAGGGCCTCCTATTCCTTCTGTACCGAAATGTGTTGTAATTGTTCTGTCTCCCTTTATTTTGTACAGCGCTGTGCAAACTGTTGGCGCAATATAAAGCCTGTATAATAATAATAACTCGCAGTTCCAGAAAGAGAGGTCATTAATAGCAGCCTACATATTTCTCTAGCAGCCTACATATTTATCTCTGTATACAATTCCTTTAACAGTAGAGGAGGAAATCTTGCAAAAATCTTATTATTATTTCCTATTTCTCCTATATAAATGTTCCACAGTGGTATCACATTGAAATTGGGGGTGATCTACTAAAGAAGTACAGGATGTTCACTTAACAAAGTACATGTTTACTTATTTAAGCAAAGTGAAAGCTAGTCAATAAACTGTACTTGGTGTTGAATACCCAATCATGTGCGAGGAAGATGTAAAATCAACTGGGCTTTTGCTAAAATCAATTGCTTGAGTGATGTGAACACAATTTCACCTTATTTACTAAACTCATAGATCAGTTACTTTTCAAAGGGCACATTCACTTTCCCCAGTGAACAGTCTGTGCTCATTTAGTAAATCAGCCCCAGGATATCTTTATGTATAAAAACTGGAGAATAATGGTAGAGTCACACTCAGCTGGTAGTAGTTCAAGCAGTCAGATGTGCAATGAAAGAATTTCCATTGTTTGATTTTTTTTTTATAGAGCATAAATTGTTCATTGTTTTTTTTATACATGAACTCCATTAGGTTTAATAAATATTAACTATTACTTTGTATCAAGGGGTCATATTATATGGTAATTCTTGGAAAATGTAGGACTTATTAAGATTGTAAGATTGAAAGAGCAGGGCCCTCGAACCCCTCGTGTATTGTATTGTTACTGTCTTGTCTCATGTCCTGTCCCCCTTGCTACTGTACAGCACTGAACAAACCGTTTGGTGCTATATAAATACTGTATAATAATAATAATAATAATTAAGAGGGTGATGTCCACCAATTTCTGTTGTTTTCTTCCTCTTCTAAAGTCCATATTATTATTGCTATCATTAATATTGATAATACATTATTATTATTATGCATCGCTTTACAAAATAAAAGGAGACAGTATGGTTACAATACAATTCAATAAAAGAGTATTTGGAGGGCCTTGTTTGCAAGAGGTTGCAATCTAAAAGGAAGGGGCAAGCAATACAAAAAGTACATACCAGCTAATCATAAGCATGAACCTTCTTCTTTACAATAAGATTTAGTTGAATAAAGCTCATGCATTCGGCACCAGAGGAGAGTTTAGTGCCAATTGTAAATTCCCTCCTTGGAATATTTTTATGGTGTTTGCCTCAAATATCCAGCAGAGAGAAATCTCTTTTTTAAGTTGTCTTTAAAATGATGGGCTGTTGCAGTGAATATAGGCTCACTAGACCATTGTAAAGATGACCCCTCTATTTCATGCTAAACTGAGTAATAAATAGGGAGCTACATTTATTATAAAGGATAAAGGTTAGCAATGACTTGGTGTTAAAAATGAACACAATCGTCCACAATAGTTCAATGACATAGTCCAAATATGGCCATGTGACCATATGAAGTCAATGATGTCACAGGCACCTTTATTAGGTGCAGCTGAAGGGTAGGGAATTCCATGCCCGCAGCTAACTGGACCAACAGTCTGCTCTCATTTGACATTGGCATTTTCTCATGGGTAGCTGAGTTTGGCCTGAACCTTAGCTAATCCCTATTCCATTATAGAACAGTATAAATGTGTTGCCTTCATAAGAAGAGGACATGTAAAACAGAAATGATCACAACCCATAAGGCCCAATTTATTTATTGCTAACTACTAATTGACCTTCATTGGGTCTGATTTTAAAGTAGTGTAAGATTGGTATATGTTCAGTGAATATATTGATGCTCTGTTCACTTCAATCATCAAATCCTGCACAAGCCAAGATCATGTGTTTCCATTTGCCTTGTACCTGATTGAGTATCGAAAGTGAACACACCTTCAGCTTACTTTACTAAGTGCATCTTCATTTTGCTAAGTTTGCAGTTTCTATTCCTTAGTAAGCCAACGCCAAATTCTGAGGCCAAGTTGTATGCCATTGGGAAAAAGCCAACAACAAAGAGGTAGCAAATGGAAAGCTACTATATGGGGTTGATTTACTAAAGGCAAACAGACTGTGCACTTTGCATAGTGCAGTTGATTCAGAGCTTAGTAACTTAGGCAAACATTCACTTTGCAATGAATATCCAATAGAGTGCAAAAAAAATAAAAAAAACTGAATTTTTGCTTGCACTTGATTGGATGATGAATGTGAGCAGAGCTTTTGCTTATGTACTAAGCTCTGGAGCAACTGCTCTTGCAAAAGTGTAAGTTGCAACTGAACTTTGCAAATTGCACAGTCTATTTTTCTTTAGCAAATCAACCCCTATGGCTTTAATTGATCACTGGACAAGAAAAATATTACCTCTGCAGGGCATAATTATATCACTAACAAATGGTCTGAAGGTAAAACCTGTTAGGATGGACACGTAAGCTGCCATTACATGGAGGATCCAGGCAGTGCTTCCTTGGTCTGTTTGTCTGGATCAGTTACGTTTAATAACATTTATTGAAAAGTCAGGAATGCAGTGTGTGGCCTCAATTTTTTCTATAGACCACATGCCATTACTGATTTGCTTTTAAAGGTGCATTCACCATTCTCCAGATTTTCCCATCTAGCTTGCCAGTAATTCTAACAAGCATGCAGTCAGTAAAGTGTTGGGGACCATGATAATTGCATGCTTGTTACAGGTCAGTGACTCAATGTATCGTAAAACTGATACCTTCCTATTATGTGTTTCTGGTGGCACACAGGATGGCACATCTGTCTGGGTTTGTTGGTATTCTCACCACCAGGGACCTTGTGTGCATAGTTTGTTCATCCCCCTCTGTTTACTTCAAAATTTTCCAGGTACAATTGTTTCTTCCTTTAAACCCCAAAACATAAGAGTTATTTGGGTTATACAAGTACAGTAAATAAGACTTCTAGAAAAATTAGATTTTCTTTGAAGGTACAATTATTCAAATGTAACTGGGAAATTAGACTGTAAGCTCCTTTGGGGAGGGGGTCACAGATGTAAATGGTTTGTTGTACTTGTATTTGCTTTGTAGAATGTATCCATGATACACAGATGAAAAGTAGGAAATTGCAGTATAGATCATGGCCATACAGTTAGGCTGGTTTATTAAGGGATATCACCCAAACCGTCCTCCCCGCTCCTTGCACGACCTCCTACTCTCTAGCTCCCTTGTCTTCTCCTCCCATGCTCATCTCCAGGACTTCTCCAGAGCCTCCCCCATCCTCTGGAACTCTCTACCCCAATTTATCAGACTATCGCCTACTCTGCTCACTTTTAGGCGATCTCTGAAAACCTATCTGTTCAGGGAAGCCTATCCTGCCCTCAGCTAATAATGGAATCTTCTATTCCTCCTACCAGTCCATCCCCCACAGTTATTACCTTTTGTACCACTAGCCCCTCCCTCTTAGATTGTAAGCTCCAAGGAGCAGGGACCTGCTAACCCTCTTATATTGAACTGTATTGTTGCTGTATTGTCTCCCGTTATATTGTAAAGCGCTGAGCAAACTGTTGGCGCTATATAAATCCTGTATAATAATAATAATAGTAATAATAATAATAATAAGGGAGCAGGGAATGTTCATTTTGCAAAGTGTAGGTTTACATAATGAAAAGGTAAAGCTTTAGTCACTTTGAATACTCAATCATATGAGAAGTAATTAAAGAAAATCTGGATTTTTTGCTTGAACATGATTGGATGAGCGTAGCTTATTGACTAAGCTGAATGGACATTTACTTTGTTAAGGGAACATTTTGTACACTATTGGTAAGCCAACCACTGTTAGCCACATTCACACCTGAGCGTTTTTCTCATGCATTTGCCAAAGTGAGACAACGCTCCAGAAGAAGAATCTCATTATTCCCAATCGGACTATTCACACCTGAGTGTTGTGTTGCTTGTTGTCTGTCATCTATAACTCAAAAAGTACTTGAGCTTCGTTTGGGGGAGAATTGTGTGTTCTTGGCCCCATAGACTTTAATGGGAGTGTCTGAAAAATGCATGTTTATACACGAATTTCAGGTATTCCTATTCACCTGCAATTCTGCTCTTATACTACAAGTCATGAATGAAAAACTGCATATAAACACACAGAAAGAAGCCTTTAAATTGCCTGGTTATGTCTGAAGGGGACTTAAAGTTTATGTTTAGCCAAAACTGGACAGGATGTTAGAAGAAATCTCCTTAATAGTCTCCCAGATAACAGTAAAATCTGATAGGTTCTAACCTCTCCCAGCTCTATCCAAATCCTAGCTAGAATTGCACTTTAAAAAAATCTTTAGCCATGACTGATATAACACTGCCAGATAAAAAAAAAAGATGGTAATGATGACATTTCAATAAAGAGGAAACACCATCACTTTGTGTTCCTCAATAACAATGTTACTGTTTTGTTTTGAAAGGATACAGTGCGGTGGCTTTTGATGGAACTCCAAGTTATGGTCATACTCCGTCTCACCATACGGCACAGTTCCCCAACCACTCCTTCAAACATGAAGATCCCATTACCCAGCAATCCTCTCTCGGTAAGTCTTGCAGATGTCCCATTCTTCATTGACATTCACTGAAAATGCTGCCAAACCAAGCTATTGTTACTACTGAAATTCTAAACAGTACTTGTATGTACTTCTGATGAAGAAGAGTTTAGATTATGTAGCAGTATAGAGTCAAGGTGTGATGATTAGAACTAAAGTAACGTTAGGCTTTCACATGTGTACATTTTAAATATCCAATCAGGATGTCAAATTAATTTCTCTCAAAGGAAACCTTTTGAGTGAGAAACGTGGAAACCATCATTACTATCCACTGATGTTAAAAATGCAAATCATGAAAGACTAAAATGGATTTCAAGCCTACACTAACTATTCTTAACAATGTTCCCTCACCATTCCTCCTACCTATCCTGCCTAACCTGTAAAAAAAAAGATCTGTATACTTATCTTTTTTTTTAGTCCAGTTTGGTGACATGATCCTGCAGCTCTGGCTTCTTTGTGTTATGGAGCGATCAACAATGGCTGGGAATTTCATGGCCCAACTGTTGTCGAAGCCCCCTCCTCTCCCCTGCAGCCACCACTCACTGACACAGGGGAGCTGGAGCTGCAGGATCATGTGACCGGAGTGAGACAAAGTAAAAATAGGTAAGTGCACAGATTTTTTTTTTTTTTTACACAGGTTAGGCAGGATAGGTTGGAAGAGGAGGAAGGGAACATTATTAAAAATAATTAGTGGTAGGTTTGACTTCTGGGATAACTTTAAGCAGATATAAAAGACACACAAAATGCAGCTCTCTGTTTCTTAATATTTTATTACATTGTTTTTTCAATACAACTACCTGAATTAGGCCCCTTTTACATGGGTGTTCTGGAAGCCTGTTTTTGACCCTTGATTATACAGATCAAAAAACAGACAATAATGTATCCCTATGGGTGGCCGGATGTGAGAGGACATGCGTTCCTCCTATAACTGCCCACATCCAGGTCCAATAAGTTTGTGTTCAGATCTGCATTTACTGACCTACCTGGATGTGGGTGAATATTGGCAGATGCACATCCACTTACATCCAGACAACTGTACTGATTACAGGGGTCTGTTTTTCCTCCAACAGAAAATGGAAAAAATATTCAAAACAGATACAGATGTCACATAGGTGACATCCATGTCCATTCTGACCCAACACCTTTTTTTTTAATCTGGCTGTACAATCTGGCCAGGCTGTGTAAATATCAAAACTAGATGGGCAGAATATCATGTTTACGTATTTGTCATAGCATGTGGTACATTATATATTTTCTACCTATACAGAAATGATGTCATTGCCATCAGATGACACAGCTACTTAACACATGTAAACATAATTTTTTTACAGGATTTTACATATATTCATGTCTCTTGAGTAAATATTGCTTGGTAAACTGACATTTATGCACCCACAATGTGGACTTCAAATAAACAGTTTCCCTGCAATGGTTGGTTGTATGAATTAAAATATATTTCCTTTAAAAAATAATCTTCTTAATATGGGCAGTTATTTTGCCAATACCTTTAAAGAGGCACTCTGCCTATAGTCTTTATTTTGACTTTTTTTTTTTTCAAACAGTAACATTTTAATCTGCAAAAGAACACCTTCCTTGACAGTGATCTCAATTTTTTCTTTAGGCCATGCTCACATGTATGAGATGCATTTTTGGCACGGTGTGTATTTAGTGCTTGGCGTGTCCATTGAACCCTATTAGAATACACCTTTTCCTGAAAGCATATAAAAGATACAGCATGCAGAACTTTTATGTGCTTTCATTAAAACTAGCTTTTTAATAGGGCTGCATCCACAGTGAAAGTCAGTTGGATGGGATAAGCAATTTTACTCACGTGATCCTCCACTATCCTAGCAAATGGTACTCCCCCTGCAGATGGTGCTCAGATGGGGGGAACTGTCTCTTGGCATCCTCATGTACAATGCAGGAGTGGGCTATGGACCCTGCATCAGTCTTGAGGATGTTAGAGGGCATCCGACCACCTGAATGCAGGAGAGACGAGGCCGATGGGACAGGTCTAGCAGCACAGATATGCCTGTAGGAGCAGTGGATTTGGAAAGTAAAACTGATCTTTCACCTACTAGACATTAACAAGCTTTTAACCCCTGAAGTGTGGGCCCAAAGAAGGTTTTTACTTTTCAGGAGTTCGGTTTTAAAAAAGAACAGAAATAGAGTATTTGTTCAAAGGGATCAATAAGATTTTTTTTTAATGAAACCTGATTGTTGGTTGATGTGCAGAACATTTCCACATTTGTTCAGTTTTAATAAATCAGCCTCAGTGTTATAGAGCAGATCACATTTTCCGTCAATACATGACACCTACACGCAAGCTGCCAAGAGAGTTCCCAATGATTAGATGCAGACTGCGCTGTCTGACTGCTGAGATCTCATTTATACTGGTTATGTATAGGGAAGTGCAGATCATAAATAGCAATGAGCAGTACAGTCCCCAGGCTGTGATCTGCTTGTGGAATTTGTGCAGTAGACAGGAGAAGTAATAGATGTTGATGGTGAGTGATCACTGATGGTTTACTAACTGGATATCATTTCCCTACAGGAGACCAGCAGTATTCTGTACCTCCACCAGTCTATGGCTGTCACACCCCTACTGACAGCTGTACTGGCAGCCAAGCTCTCCTACTGAGATCTCCATACAACAGGTATGTCCTACACAGCTGTCTGTGCACACAAACGGAACAACAGATCTATAGGTCAGCACGTAGACTAGTGGTTAGCCCTTTTGCCTAGCAAAATTAGGGTTGTCGGTTGAATTTCTAACCATGACACTAGCTGCATAGGGTATGCATATTCTCCCTGTGCTTGTGTGGGTTTCTCACACATGCCAAAGGCAAGCTTGAAGGTTTATTGGCTTCTGTCTAGCTTGGTCTTAGAATGTAAGTTAGGGACCTTAGATCAGGGCTGTCTTAATGCATGGACACTCCTGAACACTGCCCAGGGGATCCAGGTGCATAGGGGGCCCCATGAAAACCTTGCATTACATCATACTTTCCAAATTTCCCAAATTTGCCAGGGCAGTCAAGCTTTTTACTAAACTGTCCCGAAATGGCCAGAGCAGCATCCCAGAACCTGTAATGTGTACTCCTGATCCCAGTATTGTGCCCTTCTGCCTCCCTCTATACTGTGCCCTTCTGCCTCCCCCTGTACTGTGCCCAGGGACGGACTGACAACTCATGGGGCCCCCGGACAATAGGGAATCATGGGGCCCCTGTGTCCTTGCCCAAACTCAAAAAAGCCTATGAAAAAGGTACCAGGGGCATCTCATGGGGCCCCCTACTGACCCTGGGCCCTCGGGCAGTGCCCGAGTTTCCAACTGGTCAGTCCGCCCCTGACTGTGCCCTTTGTGTTGATTGATCTTTGATTTATGGCATGCTTAGTTTTTGTTTTAAATAAATTTTATTGAAAGTACTAATAAATACTGTATATATTTAATTCTATCAACTATTTATACTTGAGAGTAGGTGCATAAATTGGGGCAGGCTGGTAGAGGCCCAATGCATTACTCTGCCAAGGGACCCATGATGCTATTAAGATGACCCTGCCTTAGAATGTAAGTTCTATGAGGACAGGGCCAGGTATGAATGGATGAGGGCTGTAACAAAAGGGGGCATAACTCTTTTATTAACTTGCATAGGTTGTTCATATATCACAGGTTGGTAGAGTAACCCTTCCTTTATAGTAGCTCTTCTCCTTGTTTTAACTGGTGAGGTAACTGGCCCCTGTTCTTCTTTTTCATTGCAGGTAAAAAATGGATTCCAAGCAGAAGCAATATGCCGTCACTGCATTCTTGACAAAGAAAAGGTGTAGGCTGTCCGACATCCACAGAAGTCTACAGAATGGTTACAAAAATGTCACCATTGATAGGAGTCACCAATGACAAGACATTGTTCATGTCAATAGTGTCATCTTCATAAACATTCTGTAGCCTACGGTGGATGTCAGACAGCCTGTGCCCCTCCTTTATCAAGAACTCAATGATAGCACGTTGCTTCTGCTAGGAATCCATTATTTGCCTGCAATGAAAAAGAAGAACAGGGGCCAGTTACCTCACCAGTTCAAACATGTTGTTGAATGAGGAAGGGTGGGTTTTCTCCCAATTTAGGCATGAGCCAATTAACCTACCAACAAAGACATGCTGGTAGGTTAATTGGCTCCTGTCTAAATTGGGAGGAGACTCACACAAACAAAGAGGCAAAATGCAAACTCCATGCCAACAGTGTTGTGGCTGAGATTTGAACCAAGGACCCCACTGCTGCAAGGTCTAAGTGCTAACCACACTTTTGTTGCATCTCCATACTGCTGAGCTGCAACAGTTGTCTACATGCATCCCAACATTGGCTGCATGTCATTTCTCAGAGCAGGTTTCCTGATGGTGACAATAGTGGACCATGTCTGCATAATGTGGGTTCAAAAGATCACTTGTAGTTGTCATCAGAAGCCCAATGACAACGCAGGAGAAGGATTGGGAGAAAGGGCCAGGGCTTTGCCACCCTGTAACAGGAAGTATCTAAACAAGGATCTTCATAGCAAGATCTCCAAATCTTTGAATTAAATTATCTATTATGAGGCAATGAAAATTGCAGAATTAAAATTATGGAAAAGTACTTCTGAAATACGTTTAAAACGGTATTAAACCCCAAACTAAAAATGTAAATATTACAGCTTGCCAAACGCTAGATGTGGTGGCTTCATTAGTTTCCTTTTTTTAGGTTTTTTTCCCCTCTGTTTCCCCCTGGTGTTCTGGAAAGTACCATACTTGGGAACAACCAAACCACACCTTGCTTCCCTTAGGAGGAGGATCATATGGAGATGCAAAGGTTTTTTGTAAGACTTTACTAACCTGATTGACGGGTGCACTTTCCTTGTGGTCTGAATTTGGATAAGCTGTGGTGTGATTGTATTTAGGTCCCCTTTTCCCTTTTAGCTTTTCCCTTTTCTGGTTAACATTCTAGTAATAGGACTACCATACCCATTAATAAGGTGTATGTGTTTTTCTCTTCTACCTCCCTTGTGTGTCTTACAAAAATCCTTTGGGTTTCCATATGGTCCTCCTACTAAGAGGGATGCAAGGTGTGGTTTGGTTGTTTCCATGTTCCCAGGCCCAAATTCCATGTTTGATGGTTAAAAAAAAGTTTTCATAGAACCTGAAGAAGTGGGGTTATGGTACCCATGAATTAGGTCATGATAAATCATGGCATTCCCCCTGCTAAAATTCTACTGAACATCTACACTATCCAGTTTATGTGACTAAAGTAATGTGAACAAGTAGGGTGGGAGAGAGATAACAGTACGCTGTGAAACATAGAAATAATTCTGTATATTTGTATTTATAGGGAAATGTCTCTGCAATATGTCGTAAATGTTGATGTTTTTACAACTTTAATAAACCTTGGAACTTTAACAGTTATGCAGAAATAGTGCATTAATTGGACACATGTGCTTTTGGTGCAAAAAGTGCAGTTGTTGTTATGGGGTAGTAACTAGAAATGCATGAACTTTACCTGTCCAGAGGGAAACATGTAGTCTGCCATAGCTGAACCCCTTCTTAAAAGGGCTGAAAGGATCCTGTCACTTTACAAAATCTTTTAAGGCAAAGCATATATTTTGAACTGTCCCTATTAAAGATCCTATAAGGAAAGCAATATGGGGTGAAAAAAAACACTTATACTCACCTAAATGGATGCTGCATCTCTGATGGCTCTAAGACTTAGTGATCAAAGACTACTGATTGCTCAGTTCTCAGTCTTCAGTAAGCAGAGAGATGGTGATAGTCAGTCACCGGCTCTCTGCTCTGCCCCTCCAGTGCTCACTGGAGAGTTGGGCTGTGGTAGGGGCGGGAGCGACTGGCTCAGGCTCTCAGCGGCTTGCTAAGAGACAGAGCCAGCTGCTAGTCCAGGAGTCTAGGTGGATCCCAACTTTAAAGTCAGGATTTTTCCAGAGCCTGGACCGGCTGTGGGGAGGTGCAGTGTGGAGCGGGAAAATAAATACACAGAGTCCGGTTGCAGTAAAACTTGGAACTTGTATTAAACAGAATGCCACCTTACAAACACCCTGCCAGGAGAGCGCTGCTGGGTAAATAACTCAACAGTGCAGTAAATGCTGCTGAAGAGAGGTGTTGACAGCGTATGTTTCAGAGGAAGAAGTGTGGCCTGGCCGGGTCCCAAGAGGGGAGACTGCTTACAGGCTGGCAAGTCCTTATCCTTTCCCTCCTCATCAGGACTCTTTCCTTACTGCTAGTTACCCTCCCTAGCAAGCGGGGTCTCTCTACCTACACTAGCCACTTGCAAAAATGCACACCAAAACCCAGAGGCTGGGACTTAAATAGACCTTGTTGACCCAAGATGGCCACCAGGGGTCAGATATTTGCAGCGTAGCCACCCGGAATGCTGTTCCATTGAGTCAGTAAACCATAAAGAAACCATAAAGAAACAGTGTTTTCCTAGGACCTCCTCTCCAGGATGTGGAACCACTTGGTTGAGCACCACCCAGACTGCACCTGTCTACACGCTGTAAGCTGGAAATGGGCCGCAGGAGTGCAATCCATTCCTCAAAAGAAGTATAGCCAAAATTGTTTTGAATATAATTTTCCTTTAAACCCCCCAAAAATATATAATATATTGCAACTTACCAATTATTAGATGCAGTGACTGCATTCGTTTTCTTCTTTTAGGCTCTCCTCCCTGTTTTCACCTGGTTACTTGGCCAGCAACACACCTCTTTTATTAACCCCTAGACGCCGAGCACACGCAAACATGCGGCCTCTCGATGTCTGTGCTTCGACGCCGAGCGGCTGCATATTTGCGTGCCATTAGAAAATACATATGTGCTGAGAGCGTGTGCCCTTCGCTCTCCCAGCACATATGTCCGTGACTCACGGAAAGGTCCCGATCGTAAGGGACCTTTTCCGATCATGTGACCGCCGTGACAGCAAATCACGGTGGTCACATGACCCTAAAACCCAGCCCGCCCTCCTGGCTTCTGAAACTCTTAAAGGGACAGGAGGTGCCGGTGCAAAGGGGTTAAAGTACCTACACTCTGGATGAAGAAGCAACAGAGACGCCTTTGGACAGCAGCATTGTCAGTCTGGGGGGAGAGTAGTGTCAACAATATTGAAGCCAAACTCCAGCTAACAATTTTTAAGGAGATACAGCAACAGGTTTTTTTCCTTTGGGGATAAAGGGTTTACATAATTAAATAAAAGCTGGTCATTGTAAGCACCCTTTTCAGTAGTAAATGGTTTGTCTCAATCGTCTAATTGCTACATTTGCAGGACAGCTTGTTCTGTAAAAAGAAAGAACAGACTTACTGTCTGGATTGTCAGGTGAAAACACAGGAAAGAATACTAATGCAGGCACCACATCTAAAAATTGGTAAGCTGCAGTAAACTAGATGCTTGCTTTTGGGTTTAATACTGCTTTAAAATGTAAACTTTGCACCCTGGTCTGAACTCCAGGCAAAAAGCTAAATAAGCAGTTGAAAGACCTATGTCTGTCTATCCATTCCTACATTATTCACAGCTCAGCTACACATCACAGCTCTGTTTGGCAGGGCAGGAGACCTGATATTTCTCTGCTGCAGTTAATATATTCCAAGCAAATATAAAACAATCAAACGTGAAGTTTTTAACATTGACAATTAACAG